CAGAAAATACATTATGGGGAGGTGTGGAAGCATTGAACAAGGCATTTATAATCTCATTTCTTCAGGGTAAATTCTGCTCTCATTGACATAATCTCATCAATAGAAACTCTACTTGTTTCCCAGGGTAAGAACAAAAGTTGGCCCATAATTTGGGGCTCATTGAGCTTCCAGTGCAAAACAAGGGAGATAGTGTCTCAGTTACCAGTGAGTCAGAGAGTCTCAGTTGCCAGTGCCCTTTTCAAAATTTCAACCTGAACTTTAGGAAAGAGTAGAACCACAGCCTCATCCAAAGCCCACTGGAGCCTATAGAAAGGAGTGAATCATAAGTGCTCCAGTGCAATGCACAGACCCAGGAGGTTCTAAGATTTCAATCAGACTTTTGGGGGATAGTCCAAACTGAGCATTAAGTACAAACTCTGTGAAGTTGGCCAAGTACCAACCAGCTCGCTTTTATTAGTCTCTCTGAAATAGCCATTTTTTATTTATATGATAGCCTAGAAGAACATAGTGCTGTACAGAATCCATCCCACTTCCAAAAGCAACTGAAAGACCAAAATATAATCATTTATAATCATTTATCTTACTGCTTTATATAGACACAATACATGATGGCGTGGGATGGCCGTGTAACTCACAAGTGGAGAAGCTTTGTAATTTGTCACATGGGTATCACCTCTGAATAGGCTCACCTTCATATGCACACCCATATATTTATAAAAGTTTTAGGTGCTTCAGTTTTGGGTGCCCGGCTTGGGACACAACTTAAAGGGCTCTGATTTTCAGAAGGCAGCTGCTCTGTGTGTGTGTATGTATGTAATGATACAGAGACATATTTCAAAACCTTGACATATGTGTCTATAGTTTTAGAGTCTTCATTGAGGTTTTGACGTGTGTCTCTATTTTATTACTTTTACATACACACACGGCTTTTATTAAAATATAGTTAAAGCAAAGAAAAGGGCAGAGGTTTGAATATTTTAAAAAGTAAAAATACAAACAAAGCAGAATTTTTTTTTAAAATAAACCCTATCTTTGCTCCCTGCCATCCCTCCAAAGCACCCACTAATAATTTGGTAGAATCACGTTGTGCACATCATTGCTATGTATAACTGTGATCTCATAATAGTTCCTCTTGTTTTCCCTCCTTCTCCCCTGACACTTTTTATGATATCTGTGCCTTGAGCCTACCATGAGCTCTAGGCAGGTGGCCACTCTGTGCCTGCCTGAAGCCCCATTGACTTCAAAATGGGGTCTACATGGGTGAGAGATTGACCATTAGATTATAAACACTTTGGGGGTAGGGTTTGTGGGTTTTTTCATGTGTTTGCACAGCACTTAGCACAGTGAGATCCTAACTGAGGCCTTTAAGCACAGCTACAATGTAAATAAGGTGGTCAGAACCTTGCAGCACTGGACATTTTCTTTGGTGTATTTTTTGCAAGCTTTCCCTTAATTTAAGTCATGTACAGCATGGCATGTAATATGATGATAGGTGTTTCTTTTAGCAATACTGATAATCATTAAAAATTGAATTTGTCCCATGGCTATTATATGGCGTATGAGAGTGAGGGAGATTGTGCATTAAGAACATACTTTAATCATTTCTCCTTTCCCCATGAGTCCCCAAACACTAACTCATTCTCTACTCTGAGAGCAAAAGCCCAAGTGACCCAGATGTAGTGAACACAGATATCAAGGAGGTAGTTTCCTTAGCAACAGGAACCATATGAAAACATCCAGAACATCTTCTGTCCCCTGCTTGCTGTCCCTTGCTGTTGTGGCTACAAGCAGCAGAGGTTAAGGCTCCTCCTTGAATTTTTAAGGCACAATGTGGTATAGTGGAAAGCAGAAATAGCCTTGTTGTTTGCAAACTCATTAGCTGCTGCTGCCTCCCATTTGCTGAAATAAAGTTACTTCCATTGTATTGTTACTGAATACTGACAGAGCCCGTAAATGAAGCCAAGGGGCAGATCCTGGGCTGGTATAAGCAGAAATTCATGGAGCTATGGTGACTTACACTACCTGAGGATCTGGCCCTTGGGCTATGATCCAAGGCGCTTCCAATCTAGACTAGATCAATAGTGGCGATACAGCTCACCAAGTGATGACACAGCCTTGGAGTGGTGGGAAATTCTTGCAGTACTCACTGTCGAAACACTTCAAAGAAGATCGTGTTTTAAGGAGGAATTGGAAGGAGCAGGAAGTCATTTAGCACATGAGAAGAGAGGCATTTTCAACCATTTGGCAAAGCACAAGGTCGATATGTAAAATAATGTGTACAGTAACTTGAAAGTTTTATGCCATTTTTATCTGTGTACTGCACTTTTAAATGTCCTGGTCCATTGACACAGCAGCCATTTTGTACAGAGTTGCTGCAGTCTACTATGCAGGAAACACATACGCTGACTGCACTCTTGTTCCATATTGTTGTTTGACTTTTATTTTAGAATAAGGCTATCAGACTGAACATATTGTGCTTTGCCCTTTGTGCACAAGTAAGGCCATAGAAGAACTGGGCAGAAAAGGATGCCACTGATTTCAATCTGTCAGTATATAACCAGAGGGCCCAGACCTCTGGATAGGTAAATTCACCTGAGGGAGCTTATTAAACAAACCAGTTCTGCAGGCTATGAGATGTGAATTATTCTCCGCAGCTGACCCAGCCAAATCAGGTCTGAAGTATTACCAGAAGCTGGTCCAGAGCCAGTTTTTACAGTCAGTTATGACAGTGCAGCAGGTTGAGCATATTTGGGGTGAACTGAGGCAATATGTGGAACATCCCAAAGTTAGCAATGATACCTTGCCTATTGGAATGAGATAGAACATCAGAAAAAGATGAGGCATTCAGGAGGAAAAATTGAGAGCTGCTCAGCAGACCAAGGCAGAGAGACAGAGCAATCCCCAGCCAGCCACACCACAAATAGCATGAAGAAACCAGCTGACAGAGGACAACAACCTTGCAGCTCAAGAGGGTAGATAGGAGAGAACTGAGGTATGCACAGAGTCAGAGTAGTGTGAGCAGATTCAAAGAGGGAGAGAGTGACAGTCAGAACGGCAGGCGGGAAAGATCATTTTAGCAGTTGTGTTTTGTATGGAGAGCAGTGGGTGGAAGGGTGAAATGCCTGGAGATCAGCAAGGAGGACATTTGCAGAGGCATGAGGTGACCAAGGGGGGATGGGAAGAAAGGGCATATTTGGGAGACATTGTGAAGGAGGAAGTGATGGTGGTGAGGGGCCCCTCTGAGAGCCCTCTATTTTCTCTCCCAGACTTCACCCCCAGCTGAAAAGGCTTGGGTCTGGGTCCTTGTGAGGCCCATGAGTGCCACTGAAAGCACTGGCCACACAGAAAGCCTTAATCCCACCACAGGGTTTGTCACATTCCTATGTTTTGTCAGGCTGGGGAGCATGGGAGCCACAGCCATGCACTGTGCTGACACTCCCCTACCAGACCAGTTTATATTTTAATCTTTTAGCATCACCAGTGACAATGAATAATGTTCTACATTTAAACATCTAGCCCCAAAGTGCTTCACAAGCCACGATATAAAGAATCTCCAGCAGGTAGTGTTTTCTAGGGTGTAAGATTGCAGCCAGTGAACACTGAACTCAAGAAGCATAGAATTTAGACCATGCTCTTAGGATAAGTAACAGGACATCATCCCAAAACCCTCAACATCAAACAGTTTAATCCTGGGTTTATCTGAAGAGATAAAATGAGCCTATCAGGATGTACGCCGGTGGTACCACACTGTCTAGTTGTATTCAGACTCATGCTCAAACCACTAATCCTCTACTTGAATACAAATGTGTTCTAATAAACTTTATTGAATTAGAGCAGCTATTCAAACTAATACACAGATGATACGATGACATATCACTAGATGAGTTCTGGATTACTCTATACCAATGTTTGTTAACGATAACCCACAGAAACCAATTTCCTGGCTATGAGGAGACTAGGAACCACTGAAATGAAAAGGAGGATGCCTTTCATTTATCAGTGATCCCACACACAGGTCATAATCTCTCTGGTTATTTGTGGCTTGAATCTACTGCAGAATATTACATTCTGTAATAATGAACTGAAATTTCAACTTTCATATTGTGAACCACATTAAGTGTGGTGAAAATACCCACTTGTCCCCACCACTATCCTGTATATTCATTCCACATGGCAAGCATTCACATGAAAGCTGTAGACACTTGAGTGTGACCAGCTATTTAAAGCTAGTGCCCACAAGACTAGCAAATAATCATGCTTTTTTGGTGACCTCTTTGCAGGGTGTAAGAGGTGTCTTACTGGCCAGCCACGCTGGTAGAAGCAGTGTTCACATTTAGCTGGGGAGAAACTTTGATCTGTTTTCCTGGCTGGAGTTTGCTACTGCTAGTTTTGCGGGTCTGTTTGCGTGCGGAGAATGGGGACACCCTTATAATCTGAAATCAGATCCGATTCTGTGCACTGGGCTCTAGGCAGCTCTTCTGTTCAAATTCTGCCTGCTCTGTGGCTTCCTGTGTCAGACATGCTTTATTATACTCTGCCCCTCATCTTGATACCAGTTATTTACTTGTATCTTTCAAGCTCCAGCCCACAATGAAACCAAACAGTTTGGGTCCCAGATATAAAGAGAGATAACAGGTATAGGATTTGCTATGCAAATGAGAGGATGTAATGCTATAGTGGGCATGACTATACTACGGTCTGCTGTAAGTCACAGAGCTTCAAGCAGATTCAGAATAAGCTGTAAATTATGCAGGTAACCAGAAGTACTGAGTCTTTTCTTCTGACAAACCTAAATCGTAAGTGCTTATTTATTACACACGACAGCAGGCCTGTCTGTACCTCCAAGAGCTAGATCATCATACACTTCAATCCCTGAATGGAGGGTGCTCAGCCTCTTGCAGGATTGGACAGTGGAAGCAGGCAAACTTTATACAGACGTGATCCCACGCTTATTGTGCCCTGGTCAATTGTTGTGGCTTCAAACGCTCTGAAGCACTTACCATTTCAATAAAACTGAAGCCCTTCTTTTCAAGGGGTGGGTGGTTATTTTTTATGGATCAGGAGATTTTGCTTTTCACTATTATTGTTAGAGTTGATTACATTTTTAGCATGGTCGTCCAGATATGAGGGGATGGATACTTTGAACCAAATCCTGAAAAAAAGAAAGATAGCCTTTTAAAAGTAGTATCCATTTTATAACCATCATTAAGGGATGGCATGAAGTAATATTTTCTACTTGTTCTGACCTAGGACTCAGAACATCTGGGTTCTATTTTCACCTCTTTCACTAGCTCATTTTATGATTGTAGGGAAATCACAACCTGTCTCTCTGCCTCACTTTACCCTCCTCCAGTGTAGGGATAATAGCAACTGATAGTGGTGTCACGTGGCTTGACATTTGTACAGCTGTTTCAAATCCTTGGTAAAAAGCTGTAATAGAAGACATTTTTAACATATGGGCCCAAGAACATTTATGAGTTAGCTTTTGGCCTTAGGGATGTTATTACATGTATGAGTCTACTAATAGATTATAATATCCTGATGTGCATGTTTTCATGATTAAAGATAGGTCTATTTTAATGGGGAATTTAAGCAGTTTGTAAGCCATTTAATCACATTGGACAAGAGAACAGCAGCAGTCACACCATAGTTAAAATTGAAGCTTGCTCTCCACTTGAGATCTGATTTTCAACCCCCCATAGCCTCTCCAAAAAAAGAAACAAATCTTTCTGAAAACCTGCAAGTTGTAATTCCCTCAGGGTAGAGATTTTATGGCAATCTTGGGAAAAGTCGGACAGAGTTTTAAAGTTAAAAGTGTTTTGAAAACATGACTGTAGGTCACTATAACAGAGTCCGGTGTCACCTTAAAGACTAACAGATTTATTTGGGCATAAGTTTTTGTGGGTAAAAAACCCCACTTCTTCAGATACAGGAGAGTGTCTGCTTACTGAGCACCCCCTTGTGGCCAGAGGTGGCTATGCAGACACCCTGCCACAGTGAGCCCCCTCAAGAATTCCACATAGTCTCTTTTGTGGCCAACAGCACCCCCTCCCAGGGCTGGTTTAACAGCAGAAACAGATAAAAATATCCTCAGGGTCCTTAATAACAGAAATGGTTCAAGAAGTCATCCGGGTCTCCCCCAGTAAAGTCTCTCACCATAAAAACCAGAAGTTCATACTCCACCCTAGTTCTTCTGTCACACACACAGAGTTCTTCCTCTATTCTAATCTGCTCCATTCAAAGCCACCAGTCCAGGCTCTTGCTAGCTGGAGCTCTGCCCTGAGTTTCCTTCTCCTTCCAGCCTCAGCCTACAGTTTCCAAACTGTCTTCCCCACAGGAACCTTTCTTAATCCTTGCAGTTTCCTGAACTTTATAGGGAATTAATTGATCCAGCTCAGAAGTGCCTCTTTAGTAATCAGGATTGGCTAGCTCCAGGCTCTCCAGCCCTTGAGGGGCAAGACACCCGATACACTTTTTGCAAATACATTCTACTGCTAATAGCTTGGCTGAGAAACACCAACTTTGTTTGGTTTTGTTGACGTTGTGGAGAAGTTCCCTTTGGGAGGAGAGGGGAAAGGGTTAAAATGCACATTGAATTGTTTTTAAGTGTATACAGAGAGCATCATTTATAAAAATTAACTACCTTATTCTGACTCCAGCTTCTTGGTTGAATCAGAGGCTGGATGCATGGATTGGAGGACAGGAGACCAAGAGGATATGTGGAAGGGCAGGAGTCCAGTAAGGTGTATGGAAATGGAAGTAAGGGGCAAGGGAGTACATGGATTAGGGGTGATGGACTGGGGGAGGCACCTGGAAGGATGGCATGGAGCCTTACTTCCCGGTCTCAGAATGAGAAAGCTTTAGGGGACAAGAGAAGGAGATTTCAGGAGGTGGGGGCAGGACACTAGTGGGTCATGGAATGGGGAACAGAAGGGGATTGCTGGAGCATAGATAAGTGGTGGGTAGCTGAGGCATAGAATGGGGCAGGTTAAGAGAGGGCATAGAAGGGAGTGCTGCAATCTACTGAGCCATGGAAGGGGACAGGGAAAGGCAGAGTGCTTACCTTTATACATATGGATCTTTTCACCTCTATACCTTCCATAATCCCCTCCTTGTCCTGCTAACATCTGGAGGAGGGGAGCCCTGCTTTGGTGGGAATCATGAGAGCTGCTGGGAGCAGCAGAGTTTCTCTTTTCCAGACAGCACATCCCTCCCCAATTAAAACTTCAAGCACTCATGAAAAACAGGGAAATTCATAAACCCAAAACTTCATTAAGGAATAATTAAGGTGGAAAATGTGTATCAATGGAGACCACCTAATGGCCAGAAAGTGTCTTATAATTTCCACAGAATAATTCTTCTACTTCAAAAACATGAAAATCTGGAAGTGAGCATTGAAGGGATGCAGCCACTTCTCTCATGCTATATAATTTTCCTTCCTTTATTCTCATTCACATTATATCTTCCCACTTGATCCTTTATAATTTACATACGAGCCAGCATGACAAAATGGAGAATAACTGGCTAGGTGATAATACTTCTGAAAAAGGTCTGGGGGTTATAGTGGATCACAAATTCAATTTGAGTCAACAATGTGGCGCAGCTGTGAAAAAGGCTAGTATCATTTTGGGGTGTATTACTAGGCTTGTTGTATGTAAGACATGGGAGGCAATTGTCCTGCTCTACTCAGGACAGATGAGAACTCAGCTGGAGGACTGCATACAGTTCTGGGTGCCACTCTTTAGGAAAAATGTGGACAAATTTGGAATAATTCAGAGGAAAGCAACAAAAATGATAAAATGTTTAGAAAATCTGAACTATGAGTAAAGGTTAAAAAATGGACACATTCATTCTTGAGAAAAGAAGATCAGGGGTTGTGGGGGGACGCACCTGATAACAGTTTTCAGATATGTTAAGGGCTGTTATAAAAAGGATGGCTATCAATTGTTCTCCATGTCCACTGAAGGTAGGGCAAGAAGTAATGGGCTTAGTCTGCAGCAAGAGAGATTTAGGTTAGAGATTAGGGAAAACTTTCTAACTGTAAGGGAATTTAAGCTCTGGAATAAGCTTCCAAGAGCCGTTGTGGAATCCCCATCATTAGAGGTTTTTAAGAACAGGTTAGACAAACATCTGACAGGGATGGTCTAGGTTTACTAGGTCCTGCCTCACCACAGAGGGTTGGACTTGCTAGCTTCTCATGATCCCTTCCAGCCCTAGATTTCTATGATTCTATAAGAACATATTATACATCTGAAGAAATAAACAAGACTAACATGTTGTAAAATCCCATTTTAACTAAAACAAAACTGGTACATAAATTAATTGGTAAACATTATGGGTCAGATTTTCAAAAGTTCTCAGTGTTGGCCCAACTCTTCTCAGATTAAAGTCAATTGTAAAGCTCCCATTGACTTAAGTGGGAGCAGAGTTAAACCTCACCCTAAGTGCCAGTTAGCACAGTCCTCTATACTCCCATAAATATTAAACCCTACAGGCCAGCTCCTCAATTGAGGTAAATCAGCATAGCTCTATTGACTTGTATATATCCAAAGCACATTAAGGAGACAACATTAAGGCCAGGTAGGGAGAGATTTACTTGCCTGGAGTAAGTGGAGGGAAGGAAGGATAAATGGCATGAGTGAAGTGGATGCATCCTTATGGTGTTTGTTTAGAGACTGATCCAGCAAAGAACTTAAGCATGTGTTTAACTTTAAGTCCATGAGCAGTCCTATTAAAGTCAATGGCATGACTCTTCAACTTAAAGTGAAGCATATTCCGAAATGCTTTGTTGGATTGGAGCATTAGACATTTTCATACTTTTGATTTTCACTGAAGTATGAAAATTATTCAGTGGAAATTAAAAGACACTTTCTGGTGGTTCCACTGACACACACTTCCCACTTGAACTATTTCCCAATGTTGTGTTTTGTTTACAAATGACTATTAAATCCACACTCTACTTACAGTAGTTGAGACAGTCTTGTAACCAACCTATGACTAAACCCAGCAATATTTAAGCACTTTTAATGGATACTTATGGGTAACACTCAGGTGCATGGAAATCAATGGGTGTTTTGCCATCGACTCCAGTGAAGCCAGGATTTCACTCTAGATGTCTAAGACTAAAGAGATCCCAGTAAAATGCATTTTTACCTTTGTGTTTACTATAATATCATCTGTGCTGTAGACCTTTAGTTTAATGCACAGTGAAGTGCAGGGTCAATCTACTTAGCAGTCAATATAATGATCCACAGTGTAGCAGCAAGGTGCACTGAGTTTGCCTCCGCTAACAGTTTGGAGGGTAAAGTGTGAGGTGGTGTTGTTGAGAGTGGCTCATATCCCTTGATTAATAGCTTTCAGCACTTGCAGCTGCATAGCAGAGAATGCTAGCTGCATGTCAAGAAGATTCACGAGCTACAGGGCACAATTCAAATTGCTCTGAGTGAGAGGTGATGTGGAGCTGTACTGCCCCAGTGGGAGCACCAGAAACATTGTAGGGGGTACCCTTGGGAGCTTTCCAGTGCACAGGGGCAGCCTGACCATGACCACCATGCTCCCCTTTCTCCTCCCCGCTCCTCAACACCCTACTTGGGGAGTCTGGCAACCAAAGGGGCATTAGCAGTATGCCATCCTTGAACTCATTTGTACCTGGCCTCTGGCCAGGAGTTCAGGGGAGGGAAAGTCCTTTGTGTCTCACCCTCCTGCCTGCCCAATTTTGAAGGATCTAAGCGCAATCTGGCCTTTAGTATATTTATCTACCAATTGACTGGCAGATATAAGAAAAAAATGACAGAATGTTGACATCATTCACTCGGCATTTTTAAATGGAACATCCCAACAACACACAACATACTGTTGAAAAGGAGGTTACATCAGGGCTTCTAACAGTAAGTCTGCAAGGCAAAGTTTAATACTGAGCCGCACAGATTCTCTCCATGGTCCTGAAACTTGGCCTATAGAGTCACACAGAGAAAGAGCAATTCCTCTTTGACCAATTAAAAAAGTTTACAAGGAAACAGAGACTTTTACCAGATTTGAGGGAGTAGGGGCTCTGGGGCCTTCCTGTTGCCTTTCCCATTCCCTTGTTCCTTTCCTCTCCTGAGCCACATGTTGAAACAACCATCCTTCCACTGGAAGAGCATTGGCTTTGGTCTCCCTCCACAGCCCATTGACGCAATTCTTGGGTCAGCCAGAGGAGGTTGTTCAAGAATGGACTTGCACCCCCAAATCATGCCGAGCATTGAGTGTGCTGCCTTCCAGAACAGGCGAGGGAATGAGTTTGGTCCCAAATTCAGATCACCAGCATGGGTATCCAACATGCTGCATCCTCTGGACTATTTAGGATGACCCTGCCACTTGATCAGTCTCAAATGATTTTTATTTGGGGTTAATTTCCTATTAAACTGAAATGTGCAGAGTGACCATTTTGTACAAGGATTCAGATTATTTGGTGAAGCAATGCAGTTGCATAATGTGCTGAGGCACCATAGTGAGGAGCATGGTGTAAACTCTAGTGTGAATTTAAACGATCATTAGGGCAGGAAAGAAAGCTCTGAAGGCTGAAGGTAGCAAAGTCCTGTCAATGCCATCTGCCTGGCAAAGTGACTGCCACCAAATAATAGAGTTCCTCTAAAAGTCACACTCCCTTCTTGCAGGACAGGTGGGATTCTGCAGTCGGACTGTAGGGAATATGATCGGGAGATATTTGTATGGCCGTTCCATAAGTTTCCCCAGCAGCTGGACTCAGGGCACAGCGACAGAAGCCAAATGAGCACAGAATAGCCACATTTCTCAGAAATTCCATTTTTAAACAGGATCTAAATTTATATTTACACAAAACACCATAATGAATGTATGTAGTTGTGCTGCAATAATCTATCATGTAAAAAATACTAATCTGCCATTCCAGAATCAGTACACTCTCTAACAACACACATTTCCCTGACAGACCTCAATGGCTCAGAAGCAGCTGCAATCTTTAATTGGCAACTGATTCTGTTAACAGTTCCCCCACCCCCAACTTTATTTGTATTAATCCTACCCTAGGGATTTACACAGCAGACCAGACTCGAGTGGCATCAACTTTCATTATCTGCAAAAACCAATTTTTAGACCACTGTTAACCACCCCACAATGCCCACAATGCTCCCCAAAATTCACAAGCAGAACCAGCATTCAGATAATGTTAAAGGTAAAGATCACAAAGCACAGCAGTTTTAGATACTAGTTTTTCAGCCACGGAGACTTGTTTTTTTTCCCGGTAAATGTCACCATGAGCCAATGAGTAGGCTAGGCCTCCTGGATAAATAGGCATGATGTTGAGAGTCAAGAAACCTGGATTCTAAACCTAACTCTGACCCTGACCAGGTGAATGATGTTAGACAAGGCGCTTAACCTCTCTATGCCTCAGTTTCCCCATGTAAAATGGAGTTTCCTCACCTAATGTGCTTTGATATTCTCAGATAAAAGCACTGTGTAGGGGCAAGGTATTATTTATGTCCCTGCAAGTTGTTCACCCACAGTTTAAAAAGAATGGAAAGCATTTGGTAGAATAACCAATCTCCAGGACAAAATCTCCAGGAATAGCAAAGCTCTTGTAGGATAGGACTGAGCTTTAGTAGCAAATGTGGGCACGGAAGTTTGTGCTTTGTTTGTAGTAAGTCTGCCTTTAGCTATTGCTCTCTCAGTCTTCTCTCTTTAACGTTCACTGTAGGCCGCACCCATTCAAAATGATAAAGCACATAAAAACTCAGGCAAGCAAGCTCCAGTAACCCACAATATCCATGAAACTGCAATCCTGAAAGTCTCTTAACTTGCTGCTCTGACACCATTACCTTGCCTGATGTACCTGAGAAGTGCAGCAAATCACTTTGTATAAATCCTTGCACTGATCTCAGAGTCTTTCAGCATACCTAGACACAAAAATATCAAGTTAAGAAGAGAGTGGCAGTGAATAAATGATGGGCTTTCAGCCAAATCCTGAAATTTCCTTGAGTTTGTCTCATGGTGCCAAAACCAGCTTTTTTGTCTATAAGTGCTTGTCATAACACTTCATTATTCCATATGTTGTTTTCAATCACTATCAATCTACATATTTTGGATAATACTCTCTCCAAATGGGAGTTCTATTCTAATATGAAGACCTTTTTTAGTGGTGATAAACCTTACAATCTGCATTACTAAAATATTATTACCTTAAGCTTTTCATTTCAGCCCATAAATGCTGCCACCAGCTAATTTCATTCGTGAGATGAGAGAGTGTAATTTATGTAACAAAACGGTACTTGAAATTATTTGCCTATAAAATGTCCTTCACTTGAATCCCTGACTAACAACCTTGTTAGCATTAGCCTCTTCCCAAATGTTAACACTTCAGGAATTCTTCTTCCAAAACACACGTAACAGTAAAGCCTACATTTGTTCTAACACACTTTAATCTTCATTCGCAGACACGTCATGCTGGCCAGTCTAACTCTCAGATACATTCCTTATTTCATACATTTCAATATATCCTGCAATTTAAGCCAACTTTTAATTGATCAAGTTACCTTAGCAACAGTGGACTCTCTGTTCCCAGTATGGAGATTTCAACTGGATCTGACAAAAAGATTTTTCCTTTAATTTACATACTTCTGTAGTTTTCACCTTTGAGAAAATAACTTATTTTCAAGAGGGAGATTTCCATAAATCTTGTCTCTCGATGTCTGTCTTGGAATATTTTTCACTTTTCTTACAGTTCCAAGGGTGTTTAATTATTATTTTTTTAGGTGGAAAGGAAAAATACCAACATGTTCAGTAATTTTCCTAAAATGAGCAGTCAGAAGTCGCTGGGTGAGAAGACCCTCTGTTGAATAAAGTAAGTCTAAAGAACTGAGCTTCCCACATGCAAACTTTATTTTACAGAGCTCCTTATTTTTGCCACGTTTTTTAAAACTCCTCTTCTTATCTGCTCTGTTTACACATCTTCGGCTGACTGAACTGTTCACATGTTTCATGGACATTATGGTAATTCCCATTAACATCAGGAAACTTCGGGTTTGTGCTGGATAAGTGCATTTTATGTCACTTTGCAAAATTCTTCACTTTTGCCTGGTACTTGGAGAAAAACTGTGTAGAAGTCGGAAACAAAACCAAGGCTTATTGACAAAACTTTGGACATTGACGCATTAGGATAATTGACGAAAGCTGTTGATGCTGAATATAGTGTAGTTTCTGCATTCAGCCAATTTTGAACTGGTTTTGTGGAAGTTAGAATCCTGATCCATTCAGTCCAATGCCAGACATGCAGAGATAAATCGGAAGAAGACACCTTTTCTTCTGACACAATCTTTACTTTTAGAAATACCAAGGCTGCAGCAAAGCAGATATGCAGATGCTTCTCCAGTACTCGCTTGACACTGCATCTTCTTATTCATTCCTGTATGGAAATAGGGGCTTTTAAGTCTTTTCTTCTGTTGCCTCCATCTGGAGCCCTTCGTCCTTGGTTGGTATTTGTTTTTCTGAATCAAGAGTGCTCCAGAGAAATTCCCCCATTTGTCTAAATCTGTTAACTGATTCCACACAAAATGCACTCGCTAATTTGCTTCTGTGGCAAAAATAAAAACTGTCCTCACTGGCAGGAGAAATGCATGGTCCACAATTGGTTGTGATGGGATCTTTCCCCCTCTGTTTAAAATGTAAGGTCTCATGAATTAAGAAGATACAATGTGTCTAGATCTTATACCAGTCAGACTCTGATTCATCAGGGAGTCTCCTTGGTAACTAGCTGTTCCTCTCTGATGATTCGTGTTAGAAAAAAACTCTCTCAATTTAAAGATAAAATACAGTGAAAGGAGAAAGAGGAACTATACTATATATATGCATTAGAAAGACACACATACATAATATGTATGTATCTATACTGTGCATTTTCTACATGCATGTGCGTGTGAGGGGAGGAAACACTCTTTCTGTAAAACAAAGACATATTATTTGCAGGGGGGAAATATACCCACACAAATTATTGTATTTTCGCTAGAAACCCTTGCTGTGGTCACTGTCTTTGCAATGTAAATAACCTCAGAAGAAAGGGTGTTGCTGTTACTGGCATTTAATGAGAGGCGTAGCAGTTTATACTGTAGCAAGCCAAATGTTTAGTCTTGTGTGAGTCTGATCACCAGTTGTAAAGATTCAGAAACACAACAATTTACTCTAGGAATAACAGCCAGATTATTGGATACTACTTGTGATCCCTGCTTTAGTCATTAGAATAGTGGCTACTCTCCCTTAGATACATAAGATGCTATTATGTGTGGTTTCAGGTTGCTAAATTTGAAAGTGTGCTGCTTTTTAAAGACTATTTTTCTCTGAGAGCTCATGTTATATGAGAAAGTTAGTTCAGGGTGAGGTTAATACACACTCTGTTTAGATGATAGTCGTGTGTTTATAGTTAACAATCCACTCAAAACCATTTAGCACGCAGAAGAATAACCAAGCTGGAAAAATGTACAGTGGTAAGTACGGCTTACATTTCTCTAGTACCTTCCCTTTGAAGATCTCAAAGCGCTTTACAGACATTAAGCTGAGTTCGGTAAATATTATTCCCATTTTACAGAAGGGGAAACTGAGTCACACACTGAGGCCAATGTTTTCAAATTTGGGTGCCTAAAATTAAGCTCCTAAATCTACATTTAGAAACATAAATATGTAGCCAGATAGTCAGCATCTTTGAACATTTTGGCTTAAGAGATTTGTCCAGGGCTACAGAGGGCATCTGTGACAGAATCAGGCCTAGAACTCAGATCTTTTGACACCATATCTTATGCCTTAATGACTCCCACTTGTACAATGCATAATATCTGCAGATCTTCCAAGTTACAACAAGGTTAGCTCTTTATGAGGCCAAGTTAAACAAGACACGGTAGGGATTAATTCATCCCATTCCTCCCAGGGGGCCAACAACTCGAAGATGGTGAGAGGCTGAGAAACCTGCTTTCACTCCATTTTTCTAAAATAAATAAATAAGAAGCAGAAAATCACATTTCACTTTTGTATAAAAAGCCCTCTTAACAAGTTTTTTTGTAGCTTCTGACAAATAGGTGACAAAAGGAAACTTAAAACTCTGGGCCAGATCCTCAGCTGGTGCCAATCGTCTCACACCTCAAGTCTCTCTTCATGAGCCTCTCTCTCTTTCTCTTGGTGGGTTCTTATGCCTTTTCTGCACTGATTCCTGCTGCTCCCACAAATAAATAAAAGAACAAGCCATATTTCCATAATGGCTTTTATCTGAAAGGAAGCCAAAGCACTTTGAATGCTAGTGATGGGTTAACTGTTTGTAATCACCTCTGGGGTTGAATCCGGTAATCAAGTAGGCAGCCAGCACACTGCTTATTGTATGATATGAGGAGTGGGCATTTTTGGTAAAGCCATGGGGCAGGCCCTCTATACCTGCAAAATGGGCCATGGGATTTTTAATGTCCAGGCAGAACAAGAAGGATCAAATTATCTATGTTTGAAGGAAGAAGGGCTGAATCAAAGCTGTGGGGCTTCAGACCTTTAGTTCCAGAGAAACTAGGTATTTCAACCCAGAAGCGTAGACAATTGTGCCATCCCCTCCAGCAAGAGCCTAATACACTCAAACCTTCATTTACCAAGTCACATGGTGGACATTCATTTATCAGAATCAATTCAGTGTTCAGACAATCGAGATAATTCTCAATGCAATTAATACACGTTGCGGACATGACCTCATTTTGGATAAGTGGTTTTGGATAAGGTTTTTGGATAACCATAGTTGGGCTAATCAAGATCTGACTAGACTTCCTGAATGACTGAGAACCCCAGTCAGCCCAGCACAGCCAGGGAGAAGGGGAGAGAAAGTGATAGGGGTGAGCTAATTATCTTTTCTCTCCTACTTTCTCCAAACAGACACCTAGGGACATCCCCCAAATGCCTTCTGAATTGGATAACAATCCTCAGATCTCACAGTGCTGCTGGGGCTACCATGGCAGGGCTGAAGGGGAGGGAAGGAGAACCCTCTCCCTTCCACCTTCTTTCCTTACCCTACTCTACCATGTCTTTTGGGCTGCAAGGAAGTAAAGCGTTTATTCTCCTCACATCTGCATCTGCATCCCTCGGTGGAGCCCAGGGGAGCTGGAGCAAAGATGAGTCCCTGACGGGAAGGAAGAGGAGAGGAAAGGAGAGTGGATGGGTGGGACTGATGCCCCATCTCAGTGAGAACGAAAGGGGTGAGCATGACCCGCCTCCGTGTGGCTCTGACTCTGCCTTTTTCATGCCCACTGGAGAAATCAGAAGGGCTTTCATTTTTCCAAGTGATTTATTTATGTAATTTCCCACAGTTTCCCCTAGATGGAGGTGGAGGCAGGCTGAACAGTGCCCAGGCTTGGGGTGCCAACACTCTTAGGGAGTAGCTCTGGCTCCCTTAGGCACTCATTCACCCTCCACCCCCACCACGGGAGCAACATTGGCCCTAATTATGTTCCTTTTAACTAACCTTTATTTTGACTTGCCTGCTTGAACGATATTACACCTGCCTGTGTCTGACTGACCTTCCCCAATGTCACCCAGATTTCCTCTGGCACATGTTAAATGGCAATTTGAGCGAAGTTAAAGAACATGCATTTGGTGGCAGAAAAAATGCATTGTTCTGATAACATGGTGCTGCCTTCCTCAGCTCAGATACTCTGGCCTTCAGCTATTACATTGGTAATCTGCTAAAGGAACAATATCCGTGGTGAGTTGTACACATTCCCATTAGTACAGCCTTTCAAACTGTCCCAGACTAGTACACCCACCACTGCCATGGGCTATGTCCCAAGTGGTACAGAGCCCCTTTAGTTCTCACTGCAAGCAGTGGGATGGAGCTTGGCACATCTAGCTGATCTGTCTCTCCAGGCATTTGTTCTAGGCTTATCACCATGAGCTGAGTACCTCTCAGGCATGGCACTACAAGGGGGCAAAGGTGAGAATCGAAAAGCAAATGATATTTAACTCACCAGTCAAAACAATGACTGCCAAGGGAGCAAGTCCAGTTTTGTGTGTCTGCACTAGAAAGGGGTGGGCATTCTCTTCTTCCGTGCCCAGCCGCTGTGCTGCCCTAGGGGGTTGGACACTATTTTGAGACATGAGGGAAGAATAAAGAACTCCCATTCATCTATGGACAGATGTGTCGTGCAGATTTAACAGGAAGAGGGCTCCAAAGCTGTAGCAGGATCTCACACACACTTCACTGAATGGCCTGGCACCCACAGACCAATGGGCAGTTTTAGAAACACTCTTCATTAATGAGCACATGAGCAGTTAAGGAGGGTTCCCAGTCACCCACCCACATTTTAACCTGTCACTTTCAGACCTTATATTAAAGCCACAGATATCCTATTCATAGAACCATCTGGGGCAGGTGTCCGTTTGGATAGCATTGGCTCTGCGTTCGCTTCCAAGACCAACATTCTGTTGTCCCAGCAAACCAGCCTTTTCACTGTTCCACAAAGCAGCATGGTGGTGCCCTGAAAAGATGACCAATTGTTCAGGAACTTTGACAGCAAGTCAGAGGAGAGAAATCGAAAGCAAGGTGCTTATAACTTGGGCTGAGCAAAAAACAGTAATAATCTGAGCTGGTCTACGCTGGCAGCATGAGTGTCAAGGTGTCTGCCAAAGGGAACTCAAAGTGTTACAAGTTTAGGTGCTGTGGAATTGGATGCCCATCCACTGAAAACATGTTCTGTGCCCTCAGCCCTAGGTGGAAGGAGAGGGCTAAATCCAATGGGAGGTTTCTAGTTTCTTTCCTTCTCCTGGTTCTGGGCAATTGGCTCTTCCAATGATGGTTTGCAAGAAGAGGTGGTGAGGTCTTGACTGTCATCACAGGGCAGTTCACAGCTGGGTTGGGGCCAGGTTTACCCAACTTGGGGCTAGAAGCAGAACTTGAACATTTTCAGGTTTACCCAGCCTGGTTATATAGGTGCTTCAAAATCTTGAATGCCACACAGTATGCACCATCCTGAGACAAGACCTCCATGTTTCTGGGCTCCCCGAGGAGCCCCGAACTTGGCCTGATTCATCTGCTAGAACAGCTCTCCTGGACCTCTACGGAAGTTAAAAGCCTGACAATCACTGTCCTTATCCGAAGGTTGGCAGCAGCATGTACCCCCATGCTCACAAGCTCCCCATGCTTTCCGGGTGCACCGACACTGTTGGTTCATTCCTGGCCATCTTTACATTCCTTGTCCGCACCACGCACCCATGAACCCTTTTATTCAGCAATAACTGAACCCACAGCAGTGACTCTCTTCTCAGACAGTCTGGGGAGGTTGGAAGCAAGCGGCTATGTAGTGGCCTTTCCCTGAGTGGGTAGATAAAGGAGGAGGAGAGCACAAGGAACCGCGGCCCACCTACCCACACCCACCCCTAAAAAATGAGAGGGCACAATTGCAGTCTCTGTGTTTAGGGGAGTGCTGGATCGGCTCCCTGGGGTTCAAACCACTCTGAAGAGCTGGCTGCATAATGGGCAAACGGCATTGTAGCTACTTCACTCTGGCCTGGAGAGAAGGCCAGGTGCTCTGTGGTGGGGGAACAGGCTGCATCGTGTACTGGGAATGGCAGAGCTTGCATGCGTTCTGTAAGCACTCTGCCCTGACCAGGCCAGGGCCTTGCTGGCTCAATACAGACCATAGAGACCAGGCAGAGTTGGGGTTGGTATAGCTATTGCTGCAGTGCAGCAGCAGAATGATTGTTAGATGATTTGGGA